CCAAATAAGGCTTCTGATGGTGTGTGTGGCAGGTTCAGAAAGCTGGTGGGGTGCAAAATATGCCTTCTTCCCTGGCATCTGCCTACAGAAGCAAAATGCAGCTCATGCTCCCTGTGTAAGTCCAGCTGCCCTTTGAGGTCCTTTCAGCCTGCTCTGAGCGTGCCCTGGAAAGTTAGATTTGTCTTGTCTCCTCCGGTGTCCAGGTGCCTAAAGCCAAGCCTCGCTGCTCTGGCTGTGTCAGCAGAGAGTGGGCAATTCCCTCTCAGCATCTGCTAAGGAAAGGGCCTGTTTAAGCTCAGAATTGTAGTTTTCAGAGTATCTCCACATGAAAGCAGACTATTGAGTTTGTTGCTGCAGTCAGCCTGAAATGTTCACAGTTAAATCCTGAACCTACACAGTAAATATAATTTGCTATCTGCTGGCATCAATGCTCGTATTCCCTCTGGAATGACTTGTTGTCAGCTATGATCAAGGTGTGAGATCTTGGTCTGTAGCCCTGGACTGAAACTGTCTAAATCAGTAACTTGCAGGCCATGATCTACAGATCCTCAGTTGTCCATGAAAGTCTTCCAAGAATTAAATAGGGTGGGAGAGGAGGGCATCTCTTTGCAAATGGCTGGGGAAAGTGGATCAAGTGAGACTTGCCTCTTTAAGCAAAGCAGTGGAAGACCAATTCCACAAGACGCTGCAGGGCATTGTGCTAAACATGCTGATGATGAGCGTGCATGAGACCTGACAGACCCAGCCCTAAAAGAGCTGCTCTTTGGATCATTTTGTTTGTTTGGAATATTCTTTTTGAATAAGCAGCAATATATTCTCTGCCATCCTGGATGCATGCCAGTAGAAGTCCTAAACCTTTCTTGCTAGCATTTGTATATAATATAAAGGGTCATTTATAATCTCTGTAGGCCATGATGGGGCCTTTCGTCACTTTGTCTGAAGTCTGCTTGCATTCTGGAGACTGTTCTTGCTGACTTTTGGCTTGCAAAGAGAAATCTTGGGGTGGTTTTGTCTGTCTCTGTCATAGTCACTGTACTATCATATCTACAGTGAGTCCCAAGCTGTATATCCTAATGCATCTTATGATCAGCTGTGTTCCTGTCTCTCTGTCTTGCCTGCTTCTATGGCACAGTAAAACCCAAACACCTAAAAGTTGCATTTGTAGGAAAACTGTACTATTTATGGGAAGCCAAGAGGGTGATGTTTTGGAAATGGGAATGTACCTTTCACTCCTGGGTGGGTAACTTTCTAAACAAACTCTTCCTTCTGTTGGTAAAGAGAGAAGTTAAAGAAATCTGTGTTCATGCCAGATTATCTGAGTACCTTTGGGGTCTGAGCTTTGTTTTTTTGTTTTTTTTTTTTTTTTACCCCTTGTGATCCATGCAGTGGTGGTTCTGCTCTAGAGAAGACCCCGAGAGCGCTGAGGTGACAAGTGTTGTGGTACTTTATCACTGTCACTGCGCTCTCAGTGCTCCTGCTGAGGAAGGTGGAAGGTTGTCCCTAGATTTGAGCAAAGGATCTGTTATCTTGCCATGGGCTATCAGTCCTGTTCAGCCTGGCAAACCCAGGTGATGGCTTCAGGCAAGGAAAGCAATGAATGGAGAGCCTCAGGGAAGCTTCTCGCTTCCTGTAGTAATAGTTTCCTTTTATAACGGGTCCCTGAGCAGGTCATCTGAAGAAATGAACCTGGGAAAGTGTTGGGTTTCTCCACCACTAACGTGCAGGCTCCTGTCCTATGCACTGTAGTGTGGGAGCAGCCTTTACCTGCAACTGCTGCCTATGGTTCTGGCACTAGATTGTAACAAAGTCTGTCTAGCATGTCTCACTTCCAAGAAAGGTTTTTCCGAGGCAGAAATGACAACTTGACTGCCAAATTCCTTGGACTTGTGAGAGGATACATGTACCTGAACAGCTTATTCCAAGGACCAGGTAGAGCAAAGATGAGAGAGGCCTACTGAGACAACATCAGTTTTGGGCTTGTTTGGAAAGAAAAATCTGTGTGCGTGCTGGCAGTACCTGCTGAACGAAAGCCCTGGCAAAATCAGATTAGTGGGGTAGCTAAAAATAATCAAACTTTCTTACAGTTTTTGACATAGGCAGCCTGCACAGTGCCACCTGTTTAGCTCTGGATCCACAAATGTAGTGCGAGACTCCCAAGCTGGTTGAAAATAATCCTTGAAGGAGCAAGATGATATTAAATCTGGGTCTATGCAAGGAAAAGCTTAAGAAAGTAATTAATAGCTTCCAATTTCTCCTTAAGAGTTGCAATGTGGAGCTGCCATTATACGTTAACCGGAGCAGATAGGCTGCCAGATTCCCTCCGGCAGTTGTGGAGTCTGCCTCCAACGCATGTCTTTCTCTTCTGCATTGTGCTGGCCTGTGTGGTGGTGTTCATCTTGGTTTACCTTCCTACCTCATTTGCCTTCAGCAATATGAAGCTCTCTAGTTTCAGCATCAGATATATGAAGGATTTTGCTCAGAGTGCAGTTAACTTTTATTTTTTTTATCTGACGCAGAAGTGCTTTGTGTGTACCCAAGAAGGTGGGACAGGTTGTCTTGGAAGCCCACCAAAATCAGTATTAGAGCGAAATGATCAGTGTAGGATTATCCAGTGACACACTATGGGAACAGTACTTCTTCCCAGGTGACTCTGTGATGGGAGAAGGCCAGAGGGACACCCGTGCAAACTATGTAACAGTTAAAGTATAGCATGTGTAAATAAGTACTTGATTTATTTGGGTTTCATTGACAAGCCAGAAAAATGGTCTTAATATGAAGGGAGGAACTTGAGTCCTTGGTAAATATCCTCTGCTTTGAAATGTTCAGTAACTTCATTCTGAATTTGTTAGTACTTGTGTCCCTTCATGCTCTGCTATGTGTTGCTAGTCATACTACTACTTCGTTCCTATCCTGTGGTGGGACCAATTCCTTTCCTCATTGCATGTTAATGAGGAGTTTTGTTTTTCATAATTTTAGGACATATGCTTCTGCCATTATCCTGTCAGTTTGTTTTGCCTGACATGAAATGCTTTTGCCCTGAGGCTTGAGCAGAAGTGCTGTCCTTCCGATGGCTGTAAGCACTGTGCTAAAAACATGCTCAAGGTAAATCCTACAGAGCTGTGGTTTCCCCAGTCCTGTCTTGTACTTGCCCTTTCTCCTTGCTGCTTTTCCTTTCATGCTTAGCTGGCCGTTCCCATGGCATGAGGAGATCTTATCCATCAATAGCCATCTGCACAAACCCCATGACTAAGGCTTGGTTGGAGACATGAAGTGGCTGATTGCACCATGTGTGCATGTGATACTAAAAAGAAAACTTTACTTCGAATTACCACATTTCCAGTCTTTAGCTCCTGTTAGTGTTTCTTCTGGGTTTGGTCCCTAAACTTTGTGCAGAAGTTGTGTTGAGTCTGTTAAAGGATCTGCTGTTATGTGACCTTATGTTTTTGCCCCCTGTTTTGGCCTTTGGTTCTCTGATGTAGATCTTAGTAGAGACATCTGGGTACTAGGGTGTCTGATCCCTATACATACACCACAGGTAAATCTGAGAGAAGTGGTTCTCTAAGATCTCCCCACCAGCCTTGGGGTTACCTGAGATGTGACTGTAGTCTATGCTTC